TTGTCATCAAGAGCCAAAGATTTACATTATACGAGTTTAACGAAATGCAATGTATCAATCCTTCTAGAACAATCTTGACTCGTCCATGTAATTTTCATAGATAGTGTAGCTCCATCTCAAACAATTACCTTTGTTAAACCATGTTAACCTTACCGAGTATTACTGAGTAATATTGCATTCCAGGGTTAATTAATTCCATGGTGCTGTATATACTAGCTGTCGCCAACTATCCCATTAGTATAATGAGACAGTACAATAAAGCCTCTCGGGCTTAAGAAACCTGCCTTTTGACGCCTTTTCGCTTCAATGATTGCAAATTTCGTTAGGTTGGTTTTCAAGAAATCGGTTACATATACATCTATGCAAATTATGCTAATTTTTTTGAAATGTTATCTTAAACCAGGGAAAGCAGACATTGTCCAGATTCCATTTAAGCAAAACCAAGCAGAAGGCGCAGCCAATAGCACAAAATGTATCGATATCAGCCCAAAAGTGACGAAGGTAAGATCTCATTTTCTTTTGCTACGTTTTTATAGTGGACGTTCCACTTTTGGAGACCTCTGTAACTGACATGACATCCCACTAATTTGATCAGTGGCTTAAGTTCAAGGAAAACTGAAGGAAAAAATTCTGACTCGGAATTTCTCTTTTACAGGCTCTTGATCACATTACCATAAAGTTCTATAAAGGAACTTTTGGTCACGGTGCTTTAGTTATTGCGAATCTGGATGCATTTTTATTTCTGTAGTGCACAAACTTCCAAGGAATCCTTACTAGCATCCATGATCATTACGAACTCCACAATATACATGTAGCTGATTTTATCGCTCATCAGTCACGAGATTCCTCAGGCGAATAGGCCACTTCTGAGTTCCAAAAACCCTCACTTTTAAAATGAGGCTGGATGCAGAACATTTCTTGTGAAAGTGAGTTTTATTTGCCTGAGAATGAAACATGATTTCAATATCAAAGGCTGAGCACCTATCTTCGTTTTGAAGCAGAGGCCCGGGGAAACTCGGAAACGGCTTATTAATTTTACTGTGAAGAATTATACATGTTGTGAACTTATGTGCATTTTCTTGCAGATTTTTCGTTTATTTCCGACGAAAACCAACATAAAATAATAATAAAAAAAATGTTAAGAGTCCTTGACAGTAGATCAGTGTCCCAAAGTAATTCTTAGGACTGAAAAATTAACGTTCGATATCTGCCTTTTTTTCATTTTCTGTGGGTGGGTATGTATGTGTGCGTGGAATATTATTGTATGTGGTGCGTCTATTGTTTTGCTTGGTTGATTGTTGTAGTTAGTATTGTTGTTCTTTTTCAGACTACAAGAGGTCGTTTACACAAAGCTTCCATCACTGGAGATTGCAATATTGCAAGGGAACTACTTGAAAGTGATGTGGATGTTGACCAAAGGGATCAGGTTGTTATATATTTCATTTATTTATTTGCTTGATATGTTTTTCTATTTATTTGTTAACCTTGCTTGTTATATATTTTCTTTCTTCTTTTCCCTTCTTGAGAGTTGGAGGGGGATGGGAAGGACTTCCTTTTACGGCCATTTCTATATATTTAACTTTGTTGATTTCGTGAGAAAAGGTCATTTTACAGTCGCAGTCTTAGTACGCTATACTTCAAGTGAGGGCTGAGGTTAGTTGATCACCTTGGTTTTGTTTTCTTATGGAATTTATATTTGAAAAATGCTATTCACTGTAGCATTAGAACAACGTGACTTGCATAAGGAAACAGAAAGGGTTGTATCAAAATAAGCCCAACCCTAGTCCTGTTTCATCTACTGTTCATGGGCTATTGTCGTAGGCCAAAATAAGCATGCTAAGATAGAGAGTGAACTCGTTTTATATCGTCATCATAAAAATTTGTCCAGCGTTACATCCTTGCTTTTTCTGTACTCGTTTTTTTAGTTTGCTTTGACCCCTCTTCATCTTGCTTGCTGGTACGGACATAAATCAGTAGTGAAACTGTTACTTAATCACGGTGCAGACGTTAACGCTTTGGACAAGGTAAGCTAAATGTACATATTTACTCACACATATATACCTGTTCCCAGGTTCTAATCTTTACTCGTTTTACTTATTGAGTGTTTTCTTTTCTTCTATTATATGATCAGTACTCTCATTTTTTCAGCGTTTTATCTCCGGTCCCATATCAATTTTTAGTTCTAATATGATTAAACCAATAATCCAAAACTAGTTTCTGGCACGAAAATGAACGCAAATCTATAACAAACTAAGCCACATGTAAAGAAAACGGAGAAGATCGAGGGTTGGAGGAAAACAGATAAAGATATTTTGCATGACGCTTTTCTTCAGTATGATAACGATGATGATAATGATGATAATGAAGATGATGTAAAATATAAATAAATGATTCTGTTATTTACCCTAGGCAGTATTTGTAGCACTAATGATCGTAGGTCCGTGCAAAGCCAGAGGCAATCCAGCTGGCTATTTACAAGCATAGCCGAGGTTTGAAATCGGGACTACCGTGCTAGCGGTAAGAGCGGGACTTGGACTCGAATGGACTTCGGAATTGCGATTCTAGCGCTCTAACTACTCGCCCACACTGCCTGATGATGATGGTGATGCTGATGATGAAATTCAAATGTTTTTACTTGCATCCGGCTACGAATTGGTTGTTTACACTGATTCGATTTCAAACAGATTTCATACGGCATAATTGCTGTATATTCATTGACAAAGGACACTTCAGTCGTAATCATCCATTTACCACTCATGGTACGAAAATGATTTAATCTCGTACCCCAACCCGTACTCAACCCCGATTGTATTCCTGAGTTTGAGAGCAGGGAAAACCCCTTTCTTATTATTTTAATATTAACCAAAGCAGAGTGTTCATTGAACTGTCTTTTCCTATCTACAGTTTTGTCGTACACCACTACAGAAAGCTGAACGCCACAACTACCACTCCATAGTGACGCTGCTTCTGGAGAGTAACGCAAGACAAAGCTACCAACAACCGGTATTGCCATAGCCTCGCACGCTGGCGCTTTTAGGGGAGCTTGTTTTTAATCCCTCCCCACACACCCCTGCTCAACCGAGAACAACATTCCTTTCCCAAACTTAGCCAATTACATTGTACTTTCCCAATTCTGGAAAGTTGACCTTGACCGCGGGGTAATCTGATAATTACTCGATCTGCATGAAACACTGAGAGAGCTTTCTGGCCTCTTATAAATGTTAGATTCAGAGCGGCAAAAGTAAGATTTAGTCAAATTCAGAATACTCCATGCACTGCATAACCTTAGCGAAAGAAAGGAAAGAAGGAAAACGGGTTCCCTAGTGTCACGTTTTATTCGTGTTTAGTCTTTGAACACTTTATTTCAAAACTTTCGATTTGCTTAAATAAAACAATGGGAAAAGAGTGTTGTTTTCGGTTGACCGGGGGTTTGTGGGGAGAGATGAAAAACGAGCTCCCCTAAAAACGCCGGCGGGAGAGACTAGTATTGCTATTACCTCCCTTTTTTGTCTTTGACACTCTACACTGACGGCATTAAATGTTTGTTGTACTTTTACGGCTCTATGGCCTGTTTTAGTTTGCTTCAAGATTGCTGTGACAAGTAAAAAAAAGTGTTTCAGCAAGCAATATAAAATCGCGTTTTGTTAATTTTACCCTATCCTCAAAGTGTGATTCCAGACATAAGTAATACAATAGTTTTAATTTTAATACACTTGATTTCAGGTTAGTCTACAATTTCTTGCACAGAACGCTTTTTTGACTTTGGATAAACGATCTGGGCTAAACTTGCTGCAGGCCGCTGTCTTTCAAGGGGACTATGATACTGTTTTCAAAGCGAGTTCCTTGCTCCGTGTTAGCCGTTTTCTGACCGAGATGAATTTGAAAACAAGAGGAGACGGTGAGACAGTTTTCAACGGAAAAAGTGCGATTGATTTTCTTTCAAGTCTGGACGACAAAAATAAAGATCATGCCAAAATAGAGAAAGGCTACCTCGCAGGTGTCGAAAAAGACCTCACAATGACGGAGCTACACCGTATAAATGACGGAGAACAAGCGGTAGAACTTGTGTTAAACAATACTATGAACATTGATACCCCTGGATTGTGCAATCGCACTCCTTTAATGTCGGCGAGTATATCATCATCTAGTGGGTTTTTTGAGACTCTCATTGATCTTGGCGCTGATGTCAATGCTCAAAGAACCGATGACAAAGTGACACCCCTTCATTTGGCATCGAATTGGAATCACTACATGGCTGTTCGCTTGCTAATGGAGAATGGAGCTGATGCTAATATACCGTGTAATGATGGCAATTCACCACTGCACATGGCTGCTAGTAAGGGAAATTTCAATGTGGTAAGGCTCCTTTTGGATTATGGAGCTGATGTGAATATCCCAGATAATGATGGGTACACACCATTTCACTGCGCAGCGAGTCGGGGTTGTAGTTTTACTGCAGAGCTTTTAATTGAGAAAGTCAGTAACGTTAATCTGAGAACTAAGAGAGGAAGAACTCCTCTTTACATTGCAGTGAAAAACCAGCATGAACAGCTTATCAAAATGTTACTTGAACACAAAGCTGATGTGAGTATGGGATACAGCGAAGACACGGAAGAAAGAATTTACCTTGTTCGCGGAACCGACAGAGGTAAACCAGCTTGGCACTATGTTCTGGCAGACAAACATTTACTAGGTTTATTTCTGAAAAAAACAAATGGAGGCTCTCTTGACGTGAAGGATTTTGGAACTGTTCTTCGCAGTGGGTGGGGTCAGAATCCTCCAGCCGGTACCATTGACCAGATACTAAAAGAGAAGAGTGCCATGTTCGAAGAAATACCAGGTGAGAGTCTTCTTCACGTGGCATGTAGAAATAACGATGCCGTAGCAATCGACTTGCTGGTAAAGCACGGAGCTTGGAATCTTAACCCCCGCGATGCAGAAGGTTTCACTCCACTGCACATTGCAGCGATTCACGGTAACATGCAAGCTGTAGAAAAACTTGTTGACCTTGGAGCTGATGCCAGTCAGGCTGAGGCCGTGGCGGACCTAGCTCAAATAAACGAAGAATATGACATTGAATCTTTTCTCAGGCCCAAGACCGTTTATTTACTAGAAGCAAAGAAAGGAGAACAGGTTAAGGAAACAGAAGAAGTCGAGTTAGATGTTAGACTAAGAAATTTTTTTAGAGAAGCCGGCAGTATAGGTCGTGAAGTGGTTCAACTTGCCGTTGAAAGCATACACAGAGCTATTACATAATTCGTAAAGTACAATTCATATTGCCATTAAAACCAGTTTTACAAATAAAGTTCATGTTGCCGTGCGTCTGTTCATTCACAGGTCACATACGCGCGCTCAAGGTAAGAAAGGTAGGAGTGGTACGCGAGCGGCATGAGTCCAGGCTGTTTTTACCATATCTTAACGACTTCTGTGATCTATTGCTGAACATACGAACGGCAAAGTGAAATCTATTCTTTTGATAGAATGAACAGAAAAAAAGGGAGGACCCATAGCTGTCCCATGTATAATTGTTGCTGTACCGAAAATACGTCGAAGTTAGGCAAACGTTTAGAAGGCGCATAGTGTCGTCTGCGGTAGTTCTACATGTACAGTATAGAGTTCTTTATATATAGTGTTCTCAGAGCAGTCCAGAAAAAGGTGAAATTAAGACACTGGTGAACATCCATTTCACATCATGACACGCGTTTTTGCTCGTCAGATATCTGTATTATTTTGATGGCATTAATAAAGTTTTCAGTAGACTTTATTTTAGTCTAGATTCGTCAGTCAAAGGTTTCAGTTCTAAGTTAGGAACCCACAGAATACAACCATGGGTCGCATTTTTTCGATTTGAAAAAAGAAGCTAAGCACAACTGATTCTGCAATTCTTTGGGTTTATATTTAAGCATGTTGGACACCTTCCAGGACATATTATCTTGGATGCAACCTTTTTTGATAAGTGCTAGTATATTTATATTGGATACACTAACCAACTGCTTTCAGATAAACACGGCTGGTTCGTTATGTCGACTTAACCGAGTATGGTCTCAATTTATCACTGAATACATTGCAGGTAAATCTTTTTTATTCAATTCATTAAAGGAAAAGTAAGGTTTTGCGTTATTTAGCGTGCGCAGATCTCAGTAATATATTTCTCATACAAAGTCTCTTTTAACATACTTTCAACGGTCGCCTATAACGCGACACAGGCGCGTCACCTATGTTATGTAAATTACATTACACCCTCCCCTCGCAACGTGAGTTTGGGCCGCCTGTGCGTGCACTTAAAGACAACAAAATCAATGAACGAGATCCATTAAAACTGATCTTCGATATCTGCAATCACATTCAGTTCCTGATAAGCTGTGGTAGTCTCTTTCCTTTTTCTTTGCGGGCTCTTGCGACACACGATATCTTCTGGACCTTTGGGATATTCTCTATCCCAGAACAAGTTATGGGTCCATACATTCATTTGGGTGAACTTGGTCAGCTATGAAAACAAACAGAATTTAAGATGAAGATTTCTTTCTAAACAAAGCAGTTTAAATAACAATAATTCCGAAAGTCACAAACGAGATCACAGTTCTTAAAAGCTCCAAGTATTCCAGTTGCTCTTTCCCACATTAGAGCTACAGTGGCGGTAAGGGAAGGGTCGAATTTGTGTGGGTGGGATTAAAGAAAGGAATACAATAGCCTGAAGAAAAGATGTTATACAGTCAACGCTCTCTTAACGCACACCTCTAAAAGACGCACTCCTCTATAAGACGGACACCTGGTGTTGGTCCCTGCCGTTTTTCAGTCATTTTACTGTAACTATACTCTCTATAAGAGGGGCACCTATCTAAGACGCACAGAGGACACTTGAGAAGCGCTTTATGCAGTGAAAAATACCTCAAAACGGAATATAGGTGCTCTACATGGATTGTAAAGCGCACATTTTTTAAATATTTCCTAGTTTTTGTCCAGTTTATAGAGTTTTAACTGTTCCGCTTTTCGGCCACGAAGCCGTGAACTTTTGCCTGTACTGACATTTGATTGCACAATAAGAAAATAATTCCACTTTTCTGTTACAATGTTCCAGTTCTAGCTGTTTTGTATAAGTAAAACAGATGTGTATTAATTTCGAATGGGTTGTTTTTACTGATGTCATGTTACCTCAAAGCCGGATACCTCTCTAAGACAGACAGTAGGGGCCGGTCCTCAGGGCGTCCTTCTTAGAAAGAGCTGACTGTATGTCTTTTCTTTTTTTCTTTCTTTTTAAGGCGAGTAAGGGCAAGTGCGAAGTTTTTGTCAACCTACGCCCCACCCCCACCCACCCCTTCCGCCACTCCCTCCTCCTTGCGGCTAAAGGCAAACGACAGGCTGCTATGCCCACTTTAGTGAGTGATTTGAACTCGAATCAATGCATTTGTGTTTTTCATGTCCTCAAAAGGACATGGAAGTGAAAAACTACATTTTGCAGTTTGCGGCTTCCTACGAAAAAGGTGAGTTATAAACCAAAGCGCGCTATAATATACATTCTGGAATGTCAAAAAATATGGCTAAGGAAGCTACTGACATCAAGATCTTTGCAGTTCGTGGTTGTGAATCTATTTGTATCACACGCCAGATCTTTGTCCACTGGTATCTTCAGCTCGTAAATACCAAACGGGCTTTGGCATTCCTCCATCCCCAGCAAAGCGTCTTTACTGTGACTTCCTCGCTTGTTCAAGACGTGATTACACATTGCTACCCAGCGAGAGTCATCCTCGGTAACACAATATGATTCCGGCAGGAAAAAAAGTAATCGTCTTGGTGTTAATAATTCTGAGAGTGTATACACTAAAATAATATAACTATTAAAATTAGCTCAGCTTCATGTCGCTTAAATTGACGTACATGTAAAATTCGCATGTTCACCAAATAGCTGATGCACCACTACCGAACGTCGATCATAATCCACCTCCCCTTTGTATACAGCCAACTACTTATAGTGAGATAAATATCCTGACATTTAATTTAAATGCCATTTTTCACCTGTGTTCTTGTCTTTCCTTTTCTTGCATTCCTTCACGTCACTCAGCGTAAACCTATTAAACTTGATGGTCCTGTATGAAGCCACGGGCTGGTAGTATTCCTTGATGAGATTTTCCTCAGATTTGTCGGCAGGTACGCGGAAGAACGAGCCACTGAGATGGCGCAATTTTAGATAAATCTTCTGTGGAACAGTGTCTGGTTGATCCTCCTTACCAAGTAACTCGATGTATATCTAAAGGGTATATACAATGATGGTATTTGTTGCACCAATGGCCGAGGGGATAGTTATTTAAGTATTTAGTATTTATTAAACCAGTGGAGCTCTGATTGGCTACTCAAATTAGGAATATCCGAGTGCCGAGCGCTAGTAGGAGCCATAATCTCTTGGTGCTATTCACTGATTCACCTCCAGCTCCCCAAGCGAGCGACGCCAAACTCGCGTAAGGTAACAGCAAAACGGCTGACGGTTTACTGCCGGTTTTGAGGTTTAAAAGTGGTTTGAAATACAAAAAAACTCGCAACTCCTTTTGAAGAAATTTCTCCAAAAGAGCTAAATAAATGCCTTCAAAAGGTTTATTTGTCGGCAAGGAAACGCAACGGCCTTTCCGCCATTTGCGCGCTAAAACTGTAATCTTCGGTGGTAGTAAATGAGATGAAAATTTTTTTGCTCAGTTATCTCACATTGAACTTGCCAGGTCCTTACCTTAAGAAGTCGTATATTAAAGCATTTTTCACAGCTTTGGTCAATATTAATCAAAAATCGTGTATATCCTTTTGAGGCGAGGTCTTCAAAAATCTAAACCAGAGATAAAGGAATAATGTTAAACAAAGAAAAGAAAGTCGGAAATTCCTACTTCAACAGTATGGTACAGTAAAAATCCGCGATTATGAAACTACATTTTCTCCAAGGTTCTTTATACAGTGGTAATTTTATTTTCTGAAGAAAATAAGAATTGGAATCATTTGCGAAAAACCCTTTGACACTGTTGAAAAGATAGAGTGCCTTAACATTTGTAAACTTTCCAAAATGAGTTTGTACGTGATATGTCTAAGGCGAGCGAAAATACAGCTCCCCAAATCACGAAATTTTACAGACGTTTGTATAATGAGGGCCACCCATCATAAAACGTCGGTAAAAATTAATTTCGCGACTTTGCGGAGCTATACCTTATTTAGTTTCACTTTCAACCTTGGCAACTTAACTGCTGAGCCACGCTGACGGATTTTTACTACATGGTCTTGGTCAAAAACTGAAAAAAAAAAAAACCTTGGACGGGTGTACTTGGTATGCAAATTTTATACAGCTATTTCGAAAAAGGCTATGAAAAAAAAAATGCGCACCCGACAATCCAGAAAGGTAATGTGAAATATGATCAATACGCTGTTCCTGACGAAAATCCTTCAATAAAAATGAACTGTTAAGTAAGAAACAAAATTTCTTTTTATATATTGTTTACACAATATAGAAAAATGGTATTGAGCAAGGAGCGCTAAATTGGATTAGATTGCCTGGAATTGCTAAATTGGATTAGATTAGTGAATTGGATTGAAAAATGATGTAAAATGAAAATGCATAGAATAGAATGTTTGGATACTTCAACCCAAATTAAAGGGTTTCAATTTGGATATCAATAATACCTCTCACTGAGTGTTACTTTTGTGGCATTAAAGTTGCAGCTAGGCACCTGGTTATATTGTTTATAGTTGATAATAATTATTCTTAACTGTATGTTCATGGTGATCTCTGACCATTACAGCTAATTTTGCAAAAAAATATTCATAATCCACGAAATCAACTTGATTTGATATTATAGACTATGAGCCACAAACCTGACACAGTGTTTTAATTTCTTTGTAAGCACTACTGCCCCATCCAGTTTCATAGCCAATGAAAGTACGATCACAAGCTTTTCATGATCCATGAAATACTCCTGGATAGGATTAATGGCAAATTCATGCCCCATGAAGGTCTCATGTCATGGTTTCATGGCCCATGAAATAAGCAGAGACAGCTTTTGATGGCAATCTCATGCCTCATGAAAGTCTTGCCCATGTTTTCATGGCCCATAAAATGTTCTGCGCCATGTTTTCAAGGAAAATTCATGAGCCATTAAATGAAATGGTTCTATTTTCATGGAAAATTCATGGCCATGAATACAGCCATGAAATTTTTTTTGCAGTTTTCATGGGATTTTCACTAGATATTCATGGAATTTTCATACAATTCTGTTTCATAGTGTCATTTAGCCTCAAACAGTAGTGGTCTTCATCTTTTAGTAACGGGGCAAAAAAATTCTCCAAAAACTTTTGAACTCACATTACTGATCATTGACCTGTTATTAATACATAGGTCTCACCGTCTAGATTTCCTGATGACCACAGCCTTGAATCAACAAGTAGAAATGAAATCTATTCCTTTCTCATTGTAAACGTGGTATCAACATGGCAAAACTAAATATTACAAGTTTACTAAAATATATTAGTCCAGTCAATCTAGGCATTTTTGAGGCTCAACATCAAACTAATTGCAACAGAATTGTTTTCAACGCCATTTAAGTAAGGGTGACCAATCTAACAACATACTAAAAATCCGCCAAAATCCGTTCGGTGCAAAATGTCAAAATTAAGCGTTAAATATTTTCAGCTTTTAACACAGGAACCCAAGTTAGTTGAAATTACACGTTCCAACAAAAAGTGCACAAAATGTGTTTGTTACTTTTAGGAAAAATTGAAAGAAGAAAAAATAACTG